ACTCCTTAAAGGCAATATTAATTTTCCTTCTACCAGTTCTCTACTTAGCTCAGTTAGTTAGAATGATCGGTTTATGCGCGTCGATCCCGGGTTCAAATCCCAGTCCCCCCAAATTTGTTTTCAAAATTTTCTGCTTCATGTCAGGTTTCCAAAATAGAGAGGAGCAACAAACTAACTTTTTAATTGAATATTTATTTATTAATTATTTTTTCAATATTTTCCATAACTGGTAAATTTATCACAACCTTACCTTAACCTTACCTCAACCTTACAACTTAATAATTACCTTACCTCAACCTTGACATGTAACCTTACCTCAACCTTAACATGTAACGTTACCTCAACCTTAACGTGTAAGGTTACATCAACCTTAACGTGTAAGGTTACCTTAACCTTAACGTGTAAGGTTACCATGGCCTTATCATATATACTCACCACACCCTAACATGTAACCTTACCTCCATGGCGGAAGTTTTTAGTTCACCTCAGGTCTACCGCAGCAATATTGTGTAACCTTATGTGCCTTACGATTAGTACTCAACATAACCTTACCTCATACTATTGTGCTATGTGGGAATAATTCTGACAGATTGTTGCCTCTGGCAAATTTGGGAATTGCAAATTTGCAATGAGTCGTAGTGCGTGTACATCGGCGTTGTATACATGTGTACATGTAAATCAATTAGAGGTAATAAAATATGATTATGAGTATGAGAAATGTCGAATCGAGGGACATGATAATGTGGGGAAAGTATTACGGCAGGGATGAAACTTTCGACTAGATGATTGATTTTAATTATTAATTGCACTTTATTTGTTACATTATTAACATAAAACAAAGTATAATTACCACATTACGGGTATTAATTTTGATGCTCTTAAAATCGGCAGCATATAATTTTTAATTAACAACCATTGGGTAGAGATTGTTTTAATTCATAAGAAAATACAAAAAATTAATTTTTCAGAGTCAAAAATCATATTCGAATATGCATGAGGCTCTGTGGTATTTAGAATTAATTTTTTTATACTTACACCTATTTTATTGTTGTCGCTGAGAATTTGTTTAAAAGTTTAAATAAAACACATAATTATCAACATACATTACAAACTCTTTATTAATGTTAATTTGTCTTTGAAAAATACATTAATTTATAAGAAAATCATTTTTGAATAATAATTTGTATAATAAAATGAAATAAAGCAAATCACTCTGATATAATTATTTTTAAAGTTCATTTTGTAAATTTACTTTTATTCATGTGAATTACTCACCTAATTTCAACTTGGAGGAAAATTATTTAAAACGACAAGATTTTAAATACAAATATGCAATTGGAGAATACCTGAATACTGCAAAGCAACTTAACTTGCTTTCGTCAAGATTTCTATTTTAGTTAATTTAATATTCTTGAATAAACTTTTAAGTGGACTATTCTAAATCCCACTCTTTTCTTAACGACATTAATTTATCTGTTCCTGCAAGAGTCACTAGAAACTAATTTTTTCTTCAGTACAGCTTTTCATAGAACTAACCATGGAAATAATGTTTTAAGTAAAATATCTTTAAAAATTCATAAACATAAGTCTCCTAATGTTTTTTTCATAATGATCATGAGCCTGTCTTTATAATAAATATTTAAAAAGAAAATTTTAATTTCTAATTGAAATTGTGTTCTTTTACACAATGAATTTCCTTAATAGGAACTTGACCTCTTAAATACAGTTTTTAATTTTTAAGTAATTAAATTATTTGAAAATCGGAGTTTCATAATTAGATATCTCCTTTATAGATCATTATGGGTCAGATGCAATAGGTGCTGAAAATGCAATTATGTGGTAATTGCAGAAAGGGTGACACCAACCCTTTTACTCCCACATGCTGATTATTATCAAAAGGTACACCATTAATGTTTGTAATTTTTGTTGCGGGTCGTTCATAAACTACGTAGTACCTTTCTTTGAAAATTTTAACCTGTATATAACACTGTTACACTTGTTGTGAAATTGGTCCTTAATAAATAAGAATTGATTTTTATATTAACCCCATTAAATATGGTGGATATGAAAATTTTAAATCGACTCAATTCGCTTAAAAATAGTTATAATAAATAAATCATATTTTTTTAAATTTAATGGATTAGTAAAAAAATTCTTGAAAAAGACTTTTTTTCGCATTACTTGATGTATCCCTCATAATGTTAAGTTATTTTCTCGATTTTCTATTGCATTATGTTAACTTATTATCTTGTTGATGGAACATTATATTCTTTGATTGATGGTTGCTTATTTCCTGAACTTTCGTGTAGGCTGAGCCATATTCTTATATCTAAATTCCCCTCTCAATATTTCCTGATATGTCACTATTTGGGTGACTCAATTAGATTCATACTTCATGCATCACAGCGTGTGCTTCTAAATGTGTAAGAAATGCTTCCTCCTATGCTGTGATTCTTCTTATACGTAATAATTTTATTATACGCATTATTTTAACCCTCGGAGAACACACCTCATTATTTAGATCATTTTTCAAAGCTCAACCAATTTTAAAACTGTTTATCTGATCGAACTGAAGAATTTTTTGTCATATAGTTTAAACTCTTGATATAAATTGTAACATCATTTCTTCCATTTTGTTTAGTTTTAGTACTTTTTGAAGTACGAAGGGGCATTTTTATTTATTTTATAAACCAGGTATATATTGATTAAGGAAAGAGGAGTGTATGGAATAATGGTTTCTAAAAAGTACTTGTATCAGAAATTTTTTTTCAAGAAACTTTAAAGAGATTTTTTTTAAAGTTTAAAAATTTTTTCAAGCATTTCTATAAAATTTTAAGATTATTCAATAATTTTTTCCTCAATAAAATAAGTATTCATAATAATTAGGTCAATGACAGCTGACTAAAGTTTCAGTTCAGCAAATACTTATTGTAAATTGATAATTTGAAAATAGATTTAAAAATTATTAAAAAAATAAAATTATTTATTTTAATTTATTCGAGTCTTTGACTTTGATTTCTTCGTTTGTAACTTTTACAAAATTTATTTTTTTTAAAGTGTTCTTAACTGAAATTCTTCTAATCTTTTAAAATTTCTGATTAAATTAATTAAAAATTGGAATTTCATAAAATTTATAATTTCAAATTGAAACCATTTGAAGTTCATCTACATATGAAAATTGTAAGCGCAACTCATTTGAAATTCAATTTATTTTGAAATATTTAAGTAAAATTATTATTATATTCTCATAGTTGAATTCTAATAAGAAAATTGATTTAAAAAGGAATTTTAATTAAAACTTGACAAAATGATTAGAACTGTTAAAGTATAAGATTCCTGATAGATCTAATTAAATTTACAAAAGTTTTCAAGTAAAATCTTTCAAATTCTAATTACTGTGAAAATATAATAATATTTCAATATAAAAAATTATTAATTTGTAAGCTTCCTCAAAAAATCAAAAGTTTTGAATAATATTATTCAATAAAATTATTAAAAAATAATTGAAGTCTGAATAATTTAATGATATATTTGAATTCGCGAAAATAATTTTAAAAACTGAAACAATTAAAAATATTAATGTAGGAAATTATTTGCTGATTGAGATTATTATTATTATTTTTATTTTATTTTTTATTGATTATTCAAAAATATAATTATTTACCGACAACCATATCGGAATAATTATCTTAAGAATAACACCTGACTCTAAACCAAAGAGTTCAATTGACGTCTAATAGATGTCACTAATTGCTGATATAGTCGAAATCTTCCTTAATTAATAATTAAAAATATTGTCAAATTTTATTATTTCAATGTTAAAAAGTATCTATATAATTGAATTTTTTAAAATACATTACTTTATGAGTTCAAAAAAAATATTCTATTTAAATAATTCAATTCTCGTATAGTTGAATTCTGATAGGAATTGATTTAAAAACAATTTCACTTAAAATTTTAGAAAATAATTCAATATTTAAAGCGTTATAACATACAATTTTAGGAATTAATTAAATTTTAAAAGATTTTTGAATTAAATTCTTTGAAAATTTTGAGGGAAGCAAAAGTATAAAAATTTTTATTTTAAAAAATTATTAATTACATGTATTACTTTTCTTGAAAAATTCTTAAAGTTTTGAATAATTTTATTTAAAAATTCTAAAAAAAAAATAAGTGAATTTTTGAAGAATTATATTTACAATTTTTAGAAATAATTAAATTTCAAAAAGGTTTTTAATTGAAATTATTTGAAATTTTAATTTCTGTGGAAAAATAATAAAGAAAAAAGTTTTGAAATTTGTAACAAAATGTATTGAAATTTTGAATAAATGAATTTAGAAATTGTGAAAAAAATTTGGTTGTTAGAAAAATGTAATAACAAATTTTGAAAACTAATTGCGTTTCTAAAAGTAATTTTAAAAAGTTGAAACAATTGGAAATTTTGTCCACTTTCATGGAAATAAATTTTAATATTTGAAAGAATTTTGTTTTAATATTTAATTTTTATGACTTATAATAAAACACTTTGAAATCGATGAAGAAGAGAAATTGATTGAAAGTGACGCGGTGAGAAATAATAATTTTAAAGTAATTTGTAATAATTAATTTTAAAAATATTAAAACTTTTGCATATCACTGTCCTTCTTTATTGTATTAAAAATTTTAGACTTTTGTATAAAAAATTTCAGCTCAATTTATTAAATATTTAAGGAGAAAAGTGATGGAAAAAAATATCATTGAGAACCTATGTATGCTAACATGCTGTCTTTAGGAGATTTTAAAGAAATTTATGGACATAAACATTCTTGTCATAATGGAGTCTTTTGGACATAAGATTATGTTTTTTGGAGGACCTTAAATCGTAGCAGACATATAAACATTCTAAGAATGCATTTTTGGAAAAAACTTTCGATCCAATAACTAAAAATCATAATTTAGAGGTGCAAATAAAAAATTTAAAAAAAATGAATGAAATATTGATGAAATCATGAAAAACTCACCTGGATATTATTTAAATTGATCTCAGACGTTGGATACTTGTTGCAGCTTGCAGCATGATCGCGTTTAAATTTCCTACTGAATCTCAATAAATTCCTCGTTATCATTGTATTCATGATGACAATCATAACCAACGGTAATATCAAACTAGCAATACTATCAATAATGCTGACAATCTTCATTGTCTTTAAATATTCAATTTTCATGTCGCAAACCTCCGAACCATCTTGCATTTTAACAACACCAGCCGTTACAAGTGTATAAGAATGACTGGCCAATGCCAATAATACCAAAACCAATACAATCCCTTTGGCCCTTGCAATTGTACACATATGGGGTCTGTGCAATGGATATTGTACGGCAATAAATCGTTCAACGGTAAAAGCAACAATTAACCATACACTCAATGAACTGCACACTGAACTAATGTACACAGCACTTTCACACCAACCCTCCTTATTAAACACCCTCCATCCAACTGTACTGTTTAACCACACCAATAATAATGTTACAAGGTACATAAAATCCGTTGTTGCCAATGCCGCTAAATAATAACTCGAACTTCTCATTTTTAAATGTGTATTCAAAAATACAGCACACGACAGTAAATTACCAACGAGTCCCAATAGAATAATAAAGGGAATATAATAAAGATGGGCAAAATCCAAAACAAAATAGAGGGAATTACAAATTTCCGCTGGTTCCTCATCGTAATCGTAGGCTTCATAACTTTCGTTCCATGGAATGTAACTCGCATTACTCCATGTTGCTGATCTTCGATATCTTCCAAAATTTCTCGAGTCTTTGCAATTGTCAAATTTTAACGTTAATTCAAACAAATGATCCATATTCTTCTTCCTTTATTCAACTCTTCAAAAAAAAAAACTTTTATCTTATAGTTTCATAACATAAAATTTTAAACTTATGAAAATTTTAAAAGTAACAATCATCAAAACATGAAAAAAATTTCCATTCGAGAAAAGCATTACTATTAGAACAAAAGAAAATTTATGCTCCTTAAGGAAACAATTGAAAATTTCTAAACTACTTTCTTGAGGTTTGTTACTTTCTATCTTATTTCTTTTTTTAAAAACAAAAATCGTGATTAATTTTTTTTCTCAGAAGTTGTATGAAGAGGACCGGCACAAAATAAACTGAGCAAAGTGGAGTTAGATCCTCGCTCCTGGTCTCTGTTAGTTTGATAATATTTCCGCATGCGCCTGAATATAGTATCATCCTCCTCCTGTATAATATAAAATCAACCCTGTATTTTCTACTTAAATGATAACATATAGGTATCCAGTTGCTTTTAAATCTCAATTAACGCTAATAATATTATGTTTCTAAATATATTAACTACTTTTATACAAAAAAAAAAAAAATAAAAGAGGAAAGTATTATTATTTCCCTTATTATAAGATTGAATTTAATCCTATCTGAATTGTACTCGTAATAATATGTAACCAAATCTAGAATGGAAAATAATTTTTGTTTCTAATTTTAGTTTTATAAAAGTAATGAAATTATTTTTGTTTTCAAAATTATTAAATAATGTTATATTAATATTATTATAACTAGCAAGTGTTATATTCATTTTATCATTATTATGCAAATTACATTTTTTCCTATTTTCAAATATGAATTTTTCCAATAATTTCAGATTCCATTAAAAAAAAAAAAAAAAAAAAAAAAAAAAATTCATTAATAACTAATTTATAAATTTATTAATTAATTATTATTCTTGTTCAATTTTATTATTTCAAAAATTTTAATAAAATTCTTTGCAAAAATTCAATTATTTATAATTTTAATAAAATTATTTAATGAAAGAATTCAATTTTTAAAAAAAATTTTAATATTTTTCGAAAAAATTCAATTCTTTTCTAAAATTTTAGTAAATTCTTTGAAACAATTCAATTATATTTAAAAACATAGTTAAATTCTTTGCAAAAAAAAATTCAAATATTTTTTTAAAACTTTCAAAGAATTCAATTTTTTTTCTTAATTATATTTATAAAATATTTCAAAAGAATTCAATTATGTTCTACAATTTTAATAAATTCTTCGAAACAATTCAATGTTATTTATAAATATAGTAAAATTTAAATAAAAAATTCTATTATTTTTAATACAATTTTAATAAAATTTAATGAAAGAATTCAATTTAAAAAAAAAAAATTTTTAATATTTTTCGAAAAAATTCAATTATTTTCTCAACTTTTAATAAATTCTTCGAAAAAATGCAATTATATCATTATAAATAGCAAAATCCTTTGCAAAAATTCAATTATTTTTAATATAATTTTAATGAAATTTAATCAAAGAATATTCAATTTTTAAAAAAATTTTAACAATATTTTTCGAAAAAATTCAATTATTTCCTCAACTTTTAATAAATTCTTCGAAACAATTCAATTATATTTAAAAAAAAGTAAAATTCTTTGCAAAAATTCAATTACTTTAAAAAAAAAAAAATTTCAGGAAAGAATTTAATTTTTTTTTAATGCGTTAAAAAATTTTTCAAAAGTATTCAATATATGAAATTTTAATATAAAATTCAATAATATTAAATGTTTAATTTCAATTATTGACAAACACAATTATTTGAAAAACTTAAAAGAAATTGTTTATAAACTTCAATTATTTTTTTAATTTTCAATCAAAATTATTAAAGAAATTCCATTATTTAAAAAAAAAAAATTCAGAGAAATTCTTCAAAAAGAATTTAAATAGGTATTTTCTATACAATTTTAATAAATCCTTCGAAACAATATTCAATTTCATTTATAGATAGTAAAATTCTTTGCAAAAATTCAATTATTTTTAATACAATTTTAATAAAATTTTAATGAAAGAATTCAATTTAAAAAAAAAAAAATTTTAATAATATTTTTCGAAAAAATTCAATTATTTTCAAAAATTTTAATAAATTCCTCGAAAAAAATTTAATTATATTTATAAATAGTAAAATTATTTGCAAAAATTCAAATATTATCGAAAAAATTTCAATTTTTTTTAATGTCGTTAAAAAATTATTTTTAATACAATTTTAATAAAATTTTAATGAAAGAATTCAATTTAAAAAAAAAAAAATTTTTAATAATATTTTTCGAAAAAATTCAATTATTTTCAAAAATTTTAATAAATTCCTCGAAAAAAATTCAATTATATTTATAAATAGTAAAATTATTTGCAAAAATTCAAATATTATCGAAAAAATTTCAATTTTTTTTAATGTCGTTAAAAAATTATTTTTAATACAATTTTAATAAAATTTTAATGAAAGAATTCAATTTAAAAAAAAAAAAATTTTTAATAATATTTTTCGAAAAAATTCAATTATTTTCAAAAATTTTAATAAATTCCTCGAAAAAAATTCAATTATATTTATAAATAGTAAAATTATTTGCAAAAATTCAAATATTATCGAAAAAATTTCAATTTTTTTTAATGTCGTTAAAAAATTATTTTTAATACAATTTTAATAAAATTTTAATGAAAGAATTCAATTTAAAAAAAAAAAAAATTTAATAATATTTTTCGAAAAAATTCAATTATTTTCAAAAATTTTAATAAATTCCTCGAAAAAAATTCAATTATATTTATAAATAGTAAAATTATTTGCAAAAATTCAAATATTATCGAAAAAATTTCAATTTTTTTTAATGTCGTTAAAAAATTTTTCAAAAAAATTCAATTATTTTCTAAAATTTTAATATAAAATTCAATAATTAAATGTTTAATTTCAATTATTAACAAACACGATTATTTTAAAATGTTGAAAGAAATTGATCATAATATTCAATTATTTTTTAAATTTTTAATACAAATTCTTAAAGAAACTCCATTATTTAAAAAATTAAAATTCAAAGAAATTCTTCCAAAGAATGTTTTATTAAAATTTTTCAAAATAACTTAATTCTTATCAAGAATTTTATAAAATTTTTTTTAAATAATTTATTTCTAGCGAAAATGAATTTCTATATAATTCTTCCAAAATTCAATCATTTTTTTTTGGTGAAATTTTTCATTAAAATTATTCAAAACTTTACCTAATAAATTTAAAAAAAAATTAATATTTTTTTTAAATAAAATGTTAAATATTGTTAGAGTTTTACAATTAAAATTTTCAAAGATTTCAATTTAAAAATCTTTTAAAATTTAATTATTTCTAAAAATGTTTAATATAAAGTTTCTAATATTTAATTATCTAAAATTTTGACTGCAATTCACTTTTAAATCAATTCCATCAATTCTTATTAGAAAATGGACAGAATTTTATTATTTTATGAAAATAATTGAATTCTTACAATTTTTTTCGAAAAAGTTTAATAAAAATTGTATTTTAAATAATTTTTACAGGAAAATTAATTAAATTCTTCTAAAATGTATTGAAAATAATTATTAAATTCTAATAAACAAATTTTATATTTTTTCTTTCGGACAATAAATAATAATAAAATTAATATTTATTTAAAGTTTTAAAAATAATTGCATTTTTCGAGAAATCCATTTAAAAATTGTATTAAAAATAATTAATACCCAGCGATTAATTTTATTCTTTATAAAAATAAATTGAATTTGTTGCAAAGAATTTTATTAAAATTTCTATAAATAATTGGAATTCCTGAGAAGAATTTTATTATTTATATAAAAAATAATTGAATTCGTGCCAAGAACTTTATTAATTAATTGAATCGATTGAAAAGAATTTATTAAAATTTTTGTAAATAATTAAATTCTCATTTATGTCGTTTAGAAGGAAAAGAAAATAGAAGCTTTGTAAAAATCGATTCTTTTTTCACGACGAGAAATATATTATTTTTAAATTTAATTTATGTAAAAGGTTTTTCTAATTATAAGTATAAATGTTAATGTGTATAAAAAAAAACTATTTTTTCCCTTTTCAAAAATATAATAATTGGACATTTCGAAAATTGGTGAAAATTTGTATTGAATAATTTGTATTAAAAATCTATTTTTATTTACGTAGGTAGATCGAAAAAATTAGAAGCGTGACAGTTAGTAATTATTCTTCATATATTGAGACTCACGTTCCAATTGTATTTATTATTGAAAATTTTTGTGACTATTTTTAGAAATTGGAATAAAGACACACAGAATTATAACTTCCTTTTAAAGAGAAAATATAAATAATAAAGAAACTAATGTGACGCGAAATGCATATAGTACTAATTATTTTATTAGATATTATTCTGGTCAAAAGATTCGCTAATGTGATATTAGTACCTATATTAAAAATTTAATATTGGTATTGCAAAGAAAAATTCAAGCGGAAATTTTTTATTCAAGATAATCTTTATGTACGATAATTAATGTTAGATTAATTTCATTTTCCTTAAAAATATTAATTGAAAAATATATAATTCATAATTGCAAGTTTCAGTTGGATTTTAGTTTTAAAAAAATTTTTTTTAATTATTCCCTATTTAATTTTTTGAAATATTGAAAATTTCTCGCGTATGCACATTATGCAGTATAATAAAAATGATAAAAATTAATATATAATTTTTTCATTTTCTAAAATTATTGGAATAAATTTAATTCGTTTGAATTTATTTCCTCTTATCGTGAAATAAAATCCACACAGTTCACTTTTAATATTTCGGGATAAAGAGACAAAATGAGAAATTGAACATTTTTAATATATAATCTTCATAGATTAATTTTTTTATAAAACGAATTAAACAACATTTTACTTTATTTTAAGTTCATATTTATATTTTCATATTTGTTATCCGGACAGTTAAAAGGGACCTTACGTTAAAAAAAAAAAATAGTAGACTTTTAGAAATTTTTAATTATTTAAAAAATTTTCAATTATCTTTAGAAAGATAGAAACTGAAATATTTTTAAAAATTAATGTTTCAATGATTTTCATAATTTTTTAAATGATTTTCATAATTCCAATATTTTCTTTTTAATTCAATTATTTTAATAGAATTTTACAAATTTTCAATTATTTAAAAAATTTTCAATTATCTTTAAGAAAAAAAAATAGAAATTGACATATTCTTAAAAAAAATAATGTGTTCAACTTCACTAGTTTATTTTCAAACATTTCAATAAAATTCTTAATTTCCTATTATTATAAATAGAAATTCATTAGAATTTAATAAAGTTGATTCGAAACTTGATTCCTTCGAGAATTAACATTCATAATCTAATCACAAACAATTAAACTAAGTTTAAT